AGCGACTCATTGTATGGAAGTTATGATGCTAACCTACTTTCCTATTACTGACCGAAGCATAAGAAACTTGATTTCGCGCTAGCTTCCCATCAGTTACCGAAGGCAATCAGTTAGGTTTCGTTGATCCTGTCATCTGCCATGGAAAACAATTACCAGACAAGGGAAGGGTCTGATTTTTGCGAGAGCCCTGTTTTACACCACGCACAGTAGTCTCTCTTATCCAAATTTACTCGACCGCAGGATATACTTTTAAAAATTTCATGGCGCCCAATCTTTTTAACACTATCCGATCCGAATTCGGCTGGAATTCGTGAAGAGTATACCTGTTTACACGTCTACCAGATTGTCACTTTGCGCCCTATTACACATCCTATAAAATCATGTGCTTCAGTCTATCCGGAGAAAGAGGTTGGGACACTTGAATGTCCTTTTCAGGCTGACTCCAAATAAGTCCAATCACTAAGCAAGTGGTTTCTTGCGTCGGGGTTGAAACCAGCAGTGTATTTTTACGCCTTACGCCTAAATTACGTGTAAAGAGCTAAGTACGGATTCCAAAGGGTGCGACCAAAAGAGTGATGATCTAACAGTTGCAGAGGGCAGTGGAGCATCGGTGTTGAACAGTGATGTCATGCTGTCGATGATGATAATGATGCAGAGGGCTGCTCGATGTTGCCTGATAGAATATTGGCACCTTCAGTCCAAGTGTGCCATACACTTCTGTATTCCGTTTGCTTTGGCAAGACATGGATGAACGCTTTAGCGCGTACTCAAGCATATTGGCCAGTGATCGACTTCTTCGTGGGAAACACGATAAAATCATGTGATCAGTGTGTACGTGCCCCTGAGAATTAGTTCATGTAGATTCTCTATAAATGGAATTAGTCCTGTGTTGTACACTTATCCTCCTCCTCACCGGTAAAATCCACTAAACTATGATCATTTAATAAAGGCGGTGTGTGCACAGAAGTTCATGCCGATGAAGTGAGGTTTTGTGGCATTCAGAAAATCTGGTCTTTCCCTAGAGGGTGACCTTCTCAAAGCGGAAGGAAGGCTGTCTACAGCAGCACTAAGCCCCAAAAGTGCCTTGAATTTCTGACGTGACGCACTGTCCTGGAGCGATTGGAATCAGTCGATACTGCAATTATTACTCCTATGGTGCGGTGATGTCCGTGGCCTTCTTCGGTGGTTTTGTAATTTTAGCTGCCCTCCACTGGAGGAGACTAATTCCTGGAGAGACCAGTAGTCCAAAACGAGCCCTTTTAGTTGACTCATATAGCGTGGGTGAGTGTACTCCAAGGAAAACCATGATTGGTCGACGCCTTGCGATCATCTCCCCAGGGCGGCACCTTTGCTACGGGTATCCTGGGTCATCAATCAGTAAAACTCTGTCCCCTTATGTTCGGAGAATATCTTGCCTTACAGCTTTCTCTATACTAGGGAGCACTAGTTCATTAAAGAACAAACATTCCTGGAGAAGACTGAAAAGTAATTCTGTTTGGATTCCAATTAGCCATGAAATTCGGAAGAATTCCAACCCAGATGTATCGTTACCTGCCTACGGAAAATACAGCACTTGTCAAAACAAAGTCTAACAACTTTCCTAGTTTGTCCAAGATAAATTTATATTCAGTCCTGAGAGAGCGACGTCAGGAATGAATTTCCGCTAAAACATACAGATTTTGGTTGTTTTCTTGAGGAGTGTTTCAGTGGTAGATATCAACTCACGTAACAGAACGCTGATAGTCGGTCCTCCAAGGAATTATTGTGACAGGCGACAAACGTACGAATGTGTCCTTTTTAAAGGAGTCACTTCTAAGGATAGGTAAATTTTTCAGTTCATTCTGTTCTTTCCAGAGCAATAAAAATTGTTTTTTCGCTGAAACGATCGCACAAAAAATAACCGAGGTTGGTTCTTCTAAAAAATGGTCTCTCCTAAGCTAAAGATGCCTCAAGAGAACAAATATAAATAGTCCCATCGGAAAAACTGTCAATACAGACGAAGAAACCGGAGTAGTTACGTGATATACGGATAACTAGAATGCCATAGTACTAACAAAATCACTTTCCTCAGTAGGTGTCTTTATGATGTCAGATTAGAAAAGGTTGCACTGCACGAATGTTGCATTGTACTTTTTGTCCAGAGGCGACTTCGCTCCACTGAACGATATTTCAAGTCAAATTTCGAGGACAAAAATGATGTGGGGATAGTTTTTTGTGAGGTCGTAAGAAGACTGGTGTGTTTGCCTTACATTTACCACTAGATTTTACCCCAGCGGCATCTACTCAAACATCGATTTAACCATTTTTAAAAACGAAAACCTCCGTCTTAATCTGGATTCCTACCTAAATGAAGTGATCCTTGAATTTATGTGCATCCAAAATATAGACAAGCTAAACTGTATGAAACAAAGATCCTTTTGAAAACAGCTAAATATTCTGAAAATTGTTGCAATACAAAAACCACCAGAGGCCATGAGTATATTCAGCCTTTAGCCAGTCAGCATTAGTGCAGTCTTTCTCTCGAACGATAATGTGCGCCTATGCACCTGAACAGTCACTAAGTTCACTTACTGAAATCAAAATCTGGTGCAGATTTACCGACAACTAGACTCACGGCGCACATGTTTGGCATGTCCCTAATGAAGCCGTCCACGGGACATTGTATTGTGTTGTCCAACAAACCATGTATTTCTGGCCAGCTGTTATATGGTATGAAAAGCAGAAGGTATAGCTAATAAGTGGAATTTAACCCGCGGCGAATGTGCACTACCAATTCACTTGGGTTCGTTCAAAACATGAATGCCGTCATCTACCCGGCACAGAGATAAATCTATATTTGTTTTCCTGTAGGCAGCTGAATTATGAGTACATTTGTGAATTATCACTCTGCATCTGCATCCGCTTTACTGATGACGTTAGCTATCTGTACTTAACAAGGACATGTGCCAACGCACTAATTCCTGAATGTGAAGCTATACGGTGAGGCTAATGTTCATCAGGCAAGGTTTGAAAACTCATTAGCTGCAATTGATGCCTATTACGGGAAATCTTGCCATCATTTTTGCTATTCAGGCAACAAACGGTGGAACACCTCGAACCAATACAGAGCAAGATTTTATTTGCTTTCGCGACTTTCTGGGTTCCAGGAAGCATGTAGTTTGTATTACCAGATAAACAGTTCAGTCACGCTTTCTGAACAGTCACTGAGTCGCCATTTTGTAGCTTCAGCCATAACAAACTAGTTGACTTGTAAAAAATAAAGGTCGTCCAACTGATTATTTCGGACTCTGAGGGCATTTAACCATATCATCTTGATTTCAGCCTTTTAAAGTACATAGTGATTATGACTACCGATGTAATTAGACCTAGCTTTTATTGTGGAAAGAGTTTTTCGTCTCATGCTATCGTACACACCAAACGAAGGTTCAGTGTATAACTTCGACTGTAGTTAAACTGTGTTACGACACAACAACATGTTTACTGGGGCGTTTTTCGTTGCCTCATACGGATGGGCTGAGGTGAAATGTTTGCAGATATCTTCCACCTATATGGTTCAAGTTAGTAAAATAAATCCACTTGCTACATCCGGATATTCGCCGTCTACAATGCGTATTGGTGATACTCTACGTTGTGTTGTAGGTTAGGTTAGCATTTTTACACTAATGGTGGGGACATCACCAGTGCTCACTTATGATTTAAGTAATCATATTGAGTTGGACTCCCTCACATCAACAAAATACTGTGAGAATGGCGAGATGCATCTTTTTCAAAGGTGATAGTCTTATCTTCCACGTGGTTTACTCTAACTACCCTCTACATAACAAGAAAAAATCGGACGTCACTGTAGTGTTCTCATTCCGTCTACCTTACAGCATTGGTGCAACAAAGATATCCTACATTTAATCCATGACCACAATATACCTCCGGTGTTCTAGATGCACGCGTAGTACAAAGGTATTTGATCTACAACAAAGCCTACTATCCTAGTATGGGACACTACGTGAACATAACAAGCTCAGTTGCTCGGAAATGTTCGGAATTCACTTCTTTGATTCTTCCCAGTAAACATAGAATACACTTTACGTAAACCCAGTTTATATATCAAAACGTTATTACAGGCATTTGTGACCTACTGGATGCGTCTGATAGAGTTTCTGTTCCACTGCAATGAGATTCGTATATAACTCACCTAGTGAAACCCTTGTAAGTAACCTGCAGCCCTGTGACTCACTCCTAATGCAAAATAGCAAGTCAGGCATCTGAAGGACACCAACCCGTCAGCACTTGAGAACGGGGAATCAGTCCCTCTTTTGTGTCACGCAGCCACGCCGATCGCACAGGTCGTAGGCCATAACCACATCAGGAGAAGAACAAGAAGACTCCTAGCTGATTATTGCACTGATGATTTACCGGCTACATTTATATTCGCGGTAAAACGTCGTCATGACTAATGTTTTCTTTCAGCCTGATTGAATGCGGCCCACAATCAGAACACGTCAATACGTCAATTTTTATGCTGTAGACCACAGTAAACTAGCCCGGAAACCCTTTCAACCAGAAATAATACATTCTGATATAAGACTGTCCTTACTATTAAGATGTTTGCCCTGATTTTCTAAACTACTCAAAGGAACCAAATTGATGAGCATACAGAAATCAAGGGCCGTGACCTTGGAGAGACACTGTCCAGAAATAGCTTTTACGGAATGGGAAAGTCAGGTACTTCGATATGGGATGACCAGTGGTTTGTGAACCAATACACCACAACATCACAATCCTCGTCTTATGAGGCTAAGGTTAATGCACGAGAACACTCTACCCTTCATGGCCACTACTTTTACCACTACCCATGACCTGAGATTTGGAGATGTTAAATCGTCATGCATTGCTAGATGAGCTACCAGCTCAAAATCTATTGTTGAAATTGAAATTATTAACCAGCTGATGGTAAACAGCAAAAGCGGAGCGTGCAAAAAATTATTTGGGGAAGTTACTTACCGGCTGTGTGTCACGATTACCTTCGTAGCCTCGTAGTTCTGCTGTTGCAGAGCATAGGTTACAAAATACAGTCCATCGTTGTCAGGAACAAAAGCTGCATTTGCTGTCAGAAGGCATTCTAACACCTGGGCATTGTTTGCTCTGGCTGCGTAATGCAAAGCCGTCAGCTGAGACAGGGAAAGAAGGACGAATTTGACAGATACAGAAATCAAGTTAATAGGGTGCCTGAGTCTTTATTTCTGACATGCTAGGTGTATCAATCACGTATGTGCGTATGTATCACGCGGTAACCGACAGCCAAACCTCATTATGGTCCGGAACCAGAGCTTATGAAGCGGTAGTGCAACCCAGAAACCCAGGTTATTGTATCTGAACTAGAAGAAAAACGACCCGAGTACTTCTGTAGATGTCTAATAGTGAGTTAATTCCAAAACCTGATTCTAGTTAATTGCACCCTTAATGGAGGATTTGCGCGCACATTAAAATGATTATTACATTTCCACACCTCAGTCTAACGTCACAGGCAATAAAATACTTGAATGGTCTTCGGATTTCCAAAGTGTTGTCTTTCTTAAGGAATAATATATTCATTTGCAAATTCTCATAGTTGAGATGTTCACCAGAACTGCTGGGACAGTAATTTTGTCATCATGTTTTTATAAGAGAAGCGAAATTTTAATAATGTGTTCCACAATGCGGTTCCATAAATTTAGCAGATCGTTTCTTGGGATCTTCTGACCGTCCAACTGGATAAAATATATGAATGGAGCAGTTATTCATTATTGATCATGCTTCTGATGATTGTTGGAATTTCTTCCATATTTCCAGATTCGCGTCAGCATGCTGCAGCGAAGTAAGCGTTGAAGTGGTTTCACCAACCAAAGCTCGTACCTTCTATAAACTTGAATGGGCCGGAAACATATGCTTCTCTCTAGCCAGGCCTGTGTCCGACCTTATTTCTGTAAACCTTATACTAAGTGTTTAACAGCGAAACACACTCATTTGCGAGCAAATTTGATTTTGCGAAAAACTCACCTGGAACCCAGCTGAATCTCTCGTTTGTGATGTTTCCACGCCACTGAATGTGCTGCGCAAGGCCGCCTCATGTTTTAGTCACTACGATATTCTAGATATCGCGATACATGTATATTCGTGATGCACTACTCATAAGGTTGTTGAGAATTCCTTGACAGCCCACGACCGGTTTCGCCCGGTTGTCTGGAGACATCACAAACGAGAGATTCAGCTGGTTTCCAGATGAGTATCTAAAAACCAAGTGAGTGGATTTCACTAATTTCGGGCAATTGTGTTTCAAGTGGGACATAAGTTTAACGGAAGCTCGGGGACTGCGCTTACCTGATGAGCCCCAAGAAGGGCGTAACCGGTCGTGGGCTGTCAAAGAATTTTTAGCAATCTTATGAGTAGTGCATTACGTGGATGTATTCCACTTACCTGCTCATATGTGTTACGTCTGCTTATAATATAAGTACAGTAAAATGGAATCGATTCTATATAATTCAGGAAGTGTTCCGATTAGTGTAACTAGTTCTAAATGTGTTGGTTTATGAAATGCTCCTCCATATTATTCACAGGCCTATATAGGCAAACATTTGCAGGAACTTCAACACTCAGCAGTTGACGACCGAAGAATGTAGACAATAAACGTGTATGCTTATTTTTCAGGCTGGGAAAAATTTCGCTTCGTCGGTGGAATTTCCGTTGGTTATACTTTAATGGAAATTAGATTATTAACATCAGTCCGATATTATTGTCGACTTAAATTCGCTGATCTAGACGAACGGTCTTTAGCCAAAGACAACCAAAATATTCCTTCGGTTTCGACCCGCCACCAGCAGCAATCTCACATTCTACAAGGTAGGTTTAGAAATATCATTTTTATTGAAACATTTCTGATAATTGCTCCATAACAGTGGGATTTGTGCTGGGTAATCTAGGTTTTGTTTCCAAATGACTTTGGATTATTTATTATCGCAATTTGTCCATGTATGGACGATAGGTTCATTCATTTTAGGCCTATGAGAAACTTTTTTCCTGGCCTTGTGCCGAATTTTGAGACAAGAACTATGACGATGCACCAGATAACATGTAATCTAAGCGTATTGTGTAACTGCCACCTTACTGTCTGTATATTGTGTCGGTTCAACTGCAGGAGTATTTTTGCTGGTAGTGGACTGAACAGCAACCTTGTCACCTAATCGATGATTCGTTAGAATGATATCCTGCGGTAGTCTTACAACAGTCTGGTCGGTATATGTTGCACTTTAGCTACGAGGCTACCGTTTCACCCACCATTTCAGAGAATTTCTATCGATAAGCCCCGGGCAAATTTGCCACCAGGTACTCTGAATCAAAACAAGTTAGTCGTCTTTGATCATCATGCTATCCAAATCATGCGTTATCAAAAAGTAGTCCGACAGGATTATGAAAATATTCCACATAGAGTTTACAACGTCTTCAGCATGCGTAACGTAGGACGAAATCGGCAGAACCATCCAAGTTTTCAGTTGAATCTCACCTATTTAGATCACTCGTTGCAACCTCAGGTTGCCGGTAATAATCCCAAAAACTGGTGTATTTCTAAATGGGATAAAAAGCAAAGTCGGTTTACCTACCCCGTGAAAGTTAATCTGGTCCAGAAGAGATGGGTTAGTTTGGAGTAGTATCCGACACGTTTTGATGCACCCCCCGATCGCTGCATAATGCAAAGGAGTGTTTCCCAAGTGACATCTGAAACCGATTAAGAGAAATGTAAATGTAAGTCCGTTTCATCCCATTTGGCAGTGAAGTTGGAATGGGGAGCCAATATATTTTTTCCGGTATCTTAGCACTTCAAAGATCGGACTACCTTTGTGTTTCATAGACCGAACAGATAAGCCTTTGAAGTTATACATATAGTCTTTCCTTCCCAGAAAGCTCATCTAGAAAGACCGCAAAGTCTTCCCTGCTGAGAGATGGACATTTCTGAGATAAAGAAAAACAGTAAAAAATGGGGGGTATTCTTCGCAAACTTTCATGGTGCTAATTCATTGGCATTTCAAATATCAAGCAGTGTGATCCAATTTCCTCGAATCAGTGTCAGTCCAAATAACTTGGCCGTTTTACGCTGAGACAAAGTAACAAAGTAGCAGTGTTTCCTGAGGTAGAAACAGCTCAGAAACTCAGGATTCTTGAGCAGAGCACATGTTTGGTTCTTTCATTCAGTTTTTGCTAGTACTCCTTGTTGTTTTTTTTAAACTCGAACCACACAAATTTAGCGTAAATGTGGACATAAAAATGAAGCATTTAAAAGATACTCAAGTGCAGAGGAATGAAGGTAGTCTTTCGTAATTTTTGTACATACTGTGCGTTTCAGTCAAACTTTGAACACTGATATTTTCATTGCAAAAATGACAGTGCTATTGCAAAGAACTACTGATTATTTAAGTCTTCTGCAAATTACTGCAATTTACCACAAGGGGCATCTAAAAATCACTGGTCTTTAGAGGCATCTTTCCAGCTCACAGAGAGCAATACCTGAAGGATCAAAGGTTAGTTCAAACGAATCTCTTTTTACTATGAAAATCAAGCCTTCATTACTTAAATAAATTGAGTTCGTCTAGGAAACACAGCCATCTGAAAAATGAAGTCGAGTGTTATGGGAACAACCCCTATTAGCCAGGAAGCAATGGCTTACTTGCGAAAAACGCATCCTTTTTCCAGGAAAAGCTTAACTACTTCAACATGTCCTTGTTCTACCGCCACATGTAGTGGCAGGCGACCAAGTGCGTCGGGTGAATTCATTGCACGCATCCCAAGAGATGTGTCCAATAACCTTTCACACGTATGTAGGCGACCAAAATGAGCCGCAGTATGGAGAGGGGTATCCCGATCGTTGTCACGTTCAAGAGCAGAAGCACCACGTAGAACAAAGGCTGAGGTCGCGCCGAGGTTTCCCATTTTGGTAGAATAGTGTAACGGTGTGCAACCGAATACGTCCTTTTCATTCACAAGCTGTTTAAAGAGAGTTTCCTGGAACAAACCAGACACGACAACATACTGATCAACTCATTTTGTACACATTTCTCCCATTTTTTGGTGCACTATGCACCTAAATGTACTGGAAAGAGCATGCCACAATCTCCTTCGAAGAACAACAAAGCATTTATGATAAGGTTGGTGAAAACTAGTTGACAGCCAACGACCAGTTTCACGTTTCTTTGGAAGTGTCTTTGAGATTTCGTCAATCTTATGTTCTACTTCGTCCAAATCGGACGTAATTTTCGACGCACAATCATTTGCAAACCAGCCGGTTTTTAACACGATACTCAACTGAATCCGGACTAAACCTCTCATTTTGTTACGTTATTCTACATAGAATGATTAAGGAACGGAAAGCGATAGACTAACTCCGTTTCATAGCAGGTGGAAACGTTCCAACCAGTGGTAACGGAATGTGCTTTCGCATGCTGTTGAGCCTCGGCAGATAAATGCAAAATTAATTTTCCGAAAAGCTGCTAGGTAAATCTTCACTTAAACGGTATTTCAAGTCAGTTGTGTGATTATTCATGATACACTGAATTGTGCAATAAAAACGACACTTGTCACTTACGTCATTTACTTCTGGTAGCACTGTCCTTACACCAGGACCACGAAAAAGCATGAGCAAATGTACCAAGTTGCGATTAGAGACATCGTGCGCGTTTGGATTGGCTCCAAGTCGAAGTAACTGAATGCACGCCCTAAAGGACCCCTTCATTGCGGCTAACAGTAGGGGCGTCCATCCGTTACCGTCCGTCAATTCCAGTGGCGATCCCTGTAGTTGAAACAAATCCCACTACGAGTTTTGTGCCCGTGTGTTTATGTGTGTGACAAAGAACACTGGAACTATTTACCATTAGTTGCATTTTTTCGAACACTAAATAATAAAAAAATATATCTTTTATATCTGGAGCCAGGTATACAATGAACAGCTGTGAGGCGACCAGTGATAGATTAGTTTTACAGTGTACTACTTACCTCCTCGGAAGCCTATCCAACACATCAAAATATCGGTAGCAGAATACTTGTCGTAGACACGTGCTTCTCTTCAGACACGAAAACCGACTATCCATGCATGCATTACGTGCGAATTTTGGCTTACTAAGCAGTTATCTCCTTCATACGGTAGTGCTTATAAGGTTGATACAACTCTTCGAACAATGACTACCGGCTACTTCTCTCTCGGGGCACAGTGATTGGGATCAGTGCCTACTTTAACACCCAATCGGACTCATGCAGATGTAAATAATCATTCCCAAGACTGGACACGCTTTAGTATTAGATGCAAGTTAATTTTTCTTTTAGAATATCACCAACCTGATAAGGGAAACCAAAAAAAATATTTTATTTGCGCAAGAACCAACATGTAGCTTTTGCGCACCGAAAATGTTATCATTAATGTCAGTTTAGTTTGCGCTTGACGCCACGAGGATGTCCATTTATTTGAACTTGTGGTTCTTTAGACTGTTTTGTCTAACTTATCTCAGTCTACGCGAAGAGATCTGAAATTTGGCCGGACTTTTCGAAGAAATGTGTGGTCATTCCACCAGAGTTATCGGGATGACTCACAGAATTAGCCAAGTGACATTATTCCTTCAGTACCTATAATGATATGGTTACGATGCAATTCACCTTAGGTGCACGAATCAAAATACGTGTATGTCATCGCGATAATCATGGGTAACCGTGTTAGCTTTCTGTAGTAGGCCCCCTTGTCATTGCTTTCAGAAAAGAAAGTGTCTGGCTCGCTATGAGGGCAAACTTATCTTCATCGAATGCTGTTGATATTTTTCCATTTTGGGGAGATCAAGGTGAAATACTGTGCACTAAATGCACTAGTTTAGTCATATTATCGGGAATTATAATGTGGGAAGCGCATGCCAAACCGTGAAGCGAAATTATTTAGGTTATTTGGTATTGTCCACATTTCATCAGGCTAAGATTCTAAAAGACCTTTCTCATCTGAGTATTCTGTATCAGTGGGTAGACCCCCTTGAAAAATTTCAACCGCATGGGCTTTGGATGCTGAAAGATACTTCAATGATTATGACGTTCACGTAGACAAAAAGAAGTGGAAGGAAAAGCTAGCCTTGCCTGACATCAGCATGTGAGAGTTTGCAATAGATCCCAATCCATCCACGGGAGTATGTGTGCGACGCTTTCGTACGTGCTCAACACAGTCGTCAGTAATGAAGACGAACTGGATACGAATTTTGAACATATTATAAGTTGGAGCAGAGCTGAAAGTGGGCTTGGTCGAAAAAAACTGGATTTAGACGGCTAAAACTATGGTTGTAGCGTAAATTTGTTCAAGTAACTAGATTATTTAAGATGGTAGTAAGAATCCGTTTGCTCGCCTGCTGCCGATTCATTCATATTACACCAACAGTTATATAACATTTATATAAAACCTACATAGGCTAGAATTGTTAAGGAAAAAGTTATCTCTAAGTTTCATGGAATATAAAGCGAACAAAGCGTGGCTGAGGCCTACTGATGGCGTAACTAGAGTGAGACACTTTAACTGATATATTCTCTGTACCTCTCTTAAATTCGCAAACCAAAAAATGTAGGCAACGAAAACCGGAAGGAACGAATTGCTATCACCTAGGTATTCTTGTGAAAGCGTCGAATGCCATCAGAAATAGTTGCTTATTCGTCTGTTCATCTGGAATATACTTGAGTTAGGCATAAGCGACCAGGTTATAGTGTTTGCACTATGATTCTTTCGCCTAGCAAGTTGATTGTAAAGCTTTCATCACCAATCGTTATGGCGTCATCAAAACGTCCTTGTAACGCGGGGCGTAGCTGTGCCTTGGCGGTTCTAAATTGAATGACAGTATTAGCGAAGTACACTTATTTGCAAACAAATTCGATTCTGCGAGAGACTCTCCTGGACCCAGCTGAAATGCCATCAGAAATAGTTGCTTATTCGTCTGTTCATCTGGAATATACTTGAGTTAGGCATAAGCGACCAGGTTATAGTGTTTGCACTATGATTCTTTCGCCTAGCAAGTTGATTGTAAAGCTTTCATCACCAATCGTTATGGCGTCATCAAAACGTCCTTGTAACGCGGGGCGTAGCTGTGCCTTGGCGGTTCTAAATTGAATGACAGTATTAGCGAAGTACACTTATTTGCAAACAAATTCGATTCTGCGAGAGACTCTCCTGGAACCCAGCTGAATCTCGCGTTTATGATGCTTCCAGGCAACTGAATGTGCTACACCAGACCGCCTCATGTTTCAGTCGCTACTATATCCGAGATATCGTGATACATATATATTCGTGATGCACTTTTCACAATTTTCAACAGCCTTATGAGTAGCGCATTACGAAAATGAATGGCGGTATGCTTATGTGCTGCTGGTAGATACTGACCTCTAATTATGGTTGGTTTTATGATTGGCGGTTCCGTTGGTTGGCCCGTTAGCTAATGTTCTGATTGACCGATGTCCAGGTTACCTTCAACCTCGACACTCATCCACTGGCCACTGGTGAAGTGACCCTCAGCCTTTCACACTGTGAAATTGGCTGGTGTGATTCCAGGAGGGTTCCTGTAGTTTCTTGCTTTTCACATTTATACTTCTGCAGTGCTGCAACGTGTTTCTACTGTCTCGGTCTGAGGTTGCATGTAACTGCATTTGCTGTTCAAGGGGTGGCTGATACTGTAGTTCAGTAGAATTCTAGTTCGAGTATGTTCGAATTCACAGCAAGAATATTACGCAAAAGGGAAATTGGTAGCCAATACACGCCGGTTGGCAAAAGAACAGTAATGTCTTTTTGGCTACTTCTTAGCGTGTGTGTTCTTCAGAGTGAAAGCTGAATGGAGAAAGACATGTCGGTTGCTCAGTGCTATGAGGTAGTTAAGGGGTCTTCCTTAAGGCGGTCACTAGATTTATTTCACTTATTCTGTTATAAATTACTCGTGCCAGCCACGATAATATGGGAGGGATGGAAGCCTACGGAGGTTTATCTTCTATTCCAGGAAATCAGGTCGCTTGTGTATACGGCGAGAAGCTAATTAGCGGAGAACTGAGACTTTGAACTTCAGTTCAATCATGTTTTGACAGTGTCAGTAACCGATGGTGGTGGCATAATTTATTCGCTTTAATAGTAAACCCTTTAATAACTTACCCAAACACTCTAGTGGAGCTCAAAACAAGAGATTTACCTTCAGCTGTTAAAAAACAAATGCCAACCCAGACGGATAACACGCATTTGCATACAAACGTTCTTTTCATGGGAAGCCCATTAAATCCCAGCTTCCTCCTCGTGCAGCATTACGAATAGCGCGTTTCATCAGTAAAAATCTAACCTATTGAAACATGTTTATTTACTTTGAGATGCTGGTTATGATTATTGCTTAAGTTGATTCATTTAAGTATGGATTGTCATTGTGGCGATTTCTATTTTCATTGTTTTCGCTTCTTCGGTCTAACTGGTCCTCCCTGACTTAGTATTGTAGTCTGCTCTTTTGGGTCTTAGTGACCGGTTGAAGCTTGAAGTGCATTGCTTCTTCGTGTACTTTGTGATTTGATTGCGCTAGTAGGACGGCTTCCTTTGTGGAATCGCTCTTTATCCGTCTTCAACTTATTGGCTTGACGCTATTCTCTTAGATTCTTGGCTTGCCTGCTTCTTCTATACACGTCCCCTTTGGTCTGTTGGGGACTTTACGTTTTGTAGTTGTAGTTTTTTCTGCCCTTAGTGGTCGTTAGGACACGTGGATTTCAGTGTGTTTGTAGATGACTTTCTCAGCGGAGTACCGCGATCCCATGAACTCTTTGTTCTTGCCTGGGAAAGATTTTTACTAGCTTTTTATTCCATAGTGAATTGGATATCATTACAAGCACTGTTTATTAAATGACTTGTTTGTCATATTATGCTCCCTTAGATGATGACAAAGGTACAGTCCATGTACTCGACCCATATTTTAAGATATATTCCCAGAAGAAAAATCGATTCCATTTCTTGCATTACGATTTCTATAATAAATCCAGACGTTGGTACTTCCATTTGTCCTTCTAAGTATTGTTCATAGTGTTTTCTTTGGATTCAAAACGTGTGACTAGACCTAAGCTGGGCAGTTCGTAGAGGTCTTCCCTTATCCATTGATACATTTTGTACACCGTGCGTGCCAATTATTTTGGGTACAGTGGTTTAGTGGTCTACCACTGTGAACGGCGAGCTTGCACCATACGAAACCATTATTGCTTCCTCATCAACATTTATGCAACTCAGTTTTTTCAAGAAAAGGTTTGCATTGTTGACTGAGTACTGCAGCCCAATGATGAGGCATTTAGACCTCCTCCGCGGTTCTTCTGACAAACTACACGTTGGAGTCTTCGGAAGTGATAAGACTGGTCGTAGATATGCTGCCTCTTTATTTACTGTCAGCAGTCCTTAAAGAAAGAGGATGGATGAGTCCTGAACCTTCATTTCCCAGCACTCTTCTTTTGTGATCCTTTGAGGAACTTCATTTCTTCAGATTCTTATTGATTTTGTTATCCAGTTTTCTGCTCTAGTCATTCTCGATATGGCGGTATGTGGTCATTTCGTTTAGTAAAGCTTCCAATTTAATAAGGTAACCCGGCTTGTCCGCGATGACCGTCAGTCTTCCATTATCAGAATGACAATAGTCTCATCCTCGTTTAGCTTGTTTATTGCCGCATTTTCTTTGTTAACTAACCAATGGCTAGAACTTTGGTTTGGTGGAGATGCTGTTAAGGATCCTCATCAAGTTGAATGTAGTACACTGCTGCTCCCAGACTATCTAGGTACTTCAGAGCCGTAGTTTATCTCCAAAGCATAAATTGGGGCCTAGGAATCTGTGGTTCTGTGAACAGTTCGCTGGACAGGGTCTTGATTTCACTCAAGTGCGCAATAAGGATGTCTTCTGGGCTGCAATCTCACGGTCTTTAGACAAGTCCAGAAAATGTGTCAGCAATTCAGTCTCGTTTTTACAAGCATGAGAACTTATTTTGAAACCCACTTAATTTATTCACGGCCCTTTTTCCCCCCTAACTGGACCACAATAAAGACGCTTTAATGAGGATGATTTGTGGGTATGTTTTCGAAGACCATCCGTGCGCCTAGAATGCACTTTCTAGCTTAAAAGTTCTTCTAGGTGTCAGAAATCTGGGGTTCTACCAGTGATGTATATGCGCTTCACCTAGCTTTTTCCCGCTGATACATCCGGTAGTTACTGTGTCGTTTGATTAGGTTTCTATCAGTCTTGTATTTTAAGTATAATGAGAAATCACCTTTGGTACCTTCGCCCCGTAATAGTGGTCGGGTTTCCGTCAACAGTAGAAGTAAACACACTCAGTTGTCTTGCACCTTGTCCAGTAAATAGCAGAAAAATGTGACCAATGACCTCGAAGAAAATTTTTAGACAAATCTATGTCACTTCTAACTTACTAGAATGGTATTATTGTCTTACGGCACAGTACGATAGGACGGAGACGGATATACTTGGTTGGTGGTGATCAGTGATCGTTGTAGCATGGAACAGAATTATTTCGACCTATTCAAATTTTGAAATGAATTCAACAGTATAGACTGTCATACACGAAATCCAAGTGGGTAACCTCCACGACCAATCAAATGATCATCATCTCGCTCCCTTCAAAAAATCCAAGTTATTTTTCGATAGTACTCGTAACATGGGCAATGATTACTTTTCCACCATGGCAAAAGGACCTCTGTATTCTTTGAAGCACGTTGAGAACGCTGTATCTCCTGTACTGCGAATAATTTTGGAACCGGACATTATTATCATACTTATGGTTGCGTCGATATGAGAGCGGGAAGACGGCAAATCATTCACATAAAAAGCCAACTAGAAAAACCGGATGTATTTCGAACTAATAGAGTCCGAATACATACAATCTAACCTAAGATTACTCATGAGGTTGACGGAAACTTTTCGTTTCAGTGGGACTAATCCGGAAGGCGCAGCCCTCAGGTTTCAGTTAATCTTATTCTGTACACCAGGTTGCACTGGCACGAAGTCTTGCACATATTTGCAAAGTCCGTTGAAATCAACTGCAGACTTTACAGTCCACGTTTACATGACAAAACTTAAGGAGAAAAACGGCAATATTGGGCTGTCAAAAAATTTTAATCGCTCCTAATGAAACATCAAGTGTCTTTAACGCAACACATTTGACTAAAGAAAATAGCACCGGGTGGGGGTTAATCTGGGATTATCTGAGTCTCCCGGTAATATATATTTAATTTGCGACCGATGCAGCGCTCCGAACATACAGTTACATCACACTCATCAAACAACAGGATTTACATATTGGTGTCTTGCATAAAAATAAAAAATCCTGGCTGTCTTACTAGATTGTTAATCCATACTGCAGGCGATATGAATAATCAAGTAGGTTTTCTTAGCTCCCTGGAATCACATTTGGGCGGTCGATTAGGAGTCGATGATCGCCGCACAGACAACGGATATTGATTCCAGGTATGTGCTGACCATGAAGTGTTTCTAGCAAGTACGAACTTTCAACATAAACGTTCGCATCGCATAACCTGGCGGCCATCAACTGCAAATCAACCGTGGACCCAGTTGGACCACGTCGCCATCGACCACCGGTGGAGAGCCACAAATCAAGACTGCCGATCCTTCTGGAGCACACCACTTGATTCCAATCACGCCAGGGTGCGCGCACGCCTGAGAGTTCGCTTTCCTTCAAGCCCTCGCAAATTAGCAAGGAACATGCCAATCCGCTTGCTTCGAAGAACGACGGTAGCACAACAGTACCGATCTGAGCAAGCCCAACAACTCTCCACAGTCAACCAATTCTATGGTGGCAGTGAGCATGAGAATAAAGCATGGCGAAACGTGAAAGGAGCCATTTTAGCGGCGTTCAGCGCTGTCCTCCGACCTGTTCGATTCGACCGCAAGATCACTGGATGTCGACGAGATTGCCATCCATGATCGATGCCAGGAAAGCCATACCAACAGGCAACGAGCACGACGTCGCACGCAACTCCCTCAAACGCCAAATATTAAAGAGTCCTAGTAAAGACCGAGAGATTTGGTGGACATCAAAAGCTCGGGAAACAGCCGTGCCTTATATCAGCAGATACGATCGACTGGCCCTAGGAAAGCAACGGTCAGTGAAACGATAAGTGAAAAAGATGGCTCATTAATATACTCGCAAGAACGTCGACCGTAAAGATGAGCCCAACATTTTGAAGAACAGTTTAGCTGTCAGCTGCAACAGCTTGTAGAGATAGTGCATACAGGCAAATCGAATGTAAACATTGATCGCCCTTCAGAAGAAATAAACTACGAACTATCCATGCTACAATGTGAGAAGGCAGAAGGACAGGATGGTTTGAATCCAGCCCTCTTCAAAGAAGGCGGAAAATCCCTGGTGATCCAGGATGCTATATGGGACGAAGAGAATGTGCCGGAAGAATGCGGCATGTCGACGGTTATTCCTATCTTCAAAAAGGGTACGCGAACGCTGTGTGAAAACCACCGTGGCATCAGCCTATTAGCTGTGGCATCGAAGGTGCTTTTTGGTCTTACCCTTCGAAGGTTGACCAAACACAGAGAGAGACCGATCCATGAAAACCAAGATCGGTTCCGATCTGCATGAAGATGTAATAATCACATCCTTGTCTTGAAATCTGCCTTCGATTCTGTATATCTTCGGGCACTACGGCAGTTCCTGTGCGTTCTTTTAGTTTTCTATTCAAGAATAGGATGGATGTGGATGGCTTCCAAATTATACATGGTTTGCTTGCGCCGATGCAGGTCGTGTGTCTTATGTGAGTCATGATTAAGTTTTCGAAGATCCAGGATACAGTTTTCAATCAACGTTTCGAATATCCGAGAGAGGTGCTCAGCAGCAGCCCCACAACGGAAGCTGATGTTGCGGTGAAAAGGGATTATCTAGAGAGATCATAGTAAACATACCGACAAGATACCTTTATTTGGTTCGTGGAACTGTGCGCGTTCATGCTAATTCAAGGCAACCTATAGTTTTGGATGCTGATTTTTAGGACGTCGGGTCTGAAGCCAGTCAAGGAGGTTTGCGTGACAGGTGCTAGACTGTCGGCCGTTGTGTCCTCCATTGATGGGTGAGCGCTAGCTAAATATGAGACAAACTGGCACCATTCATCTTATCAACATTAAATATAGGTTCATGTGAGTCGCCCGTTAAAACCAAATTGATGTGCAAATGTGTCTGTCGAAAAATGCGGTTGTCTTTTACAGCAACGATTTCTTATTTGAAAACGTGGTATAGGCGGTTATCAGGAGGTTGCTGTAAATTGTCATATCATAGAACTGTAATATCTTAACGGACTTGAAAAAATGAATAAAACCGTGTGAATTGTGATACTTCCTAGTGATGATTCCAGTCTACCGGCTTTGTCACATCATACAGCTACTTTACTGTTAGAGTAGATGTAATCAGTTTTGTTCATTTGTACGCTTTCTGAATTACTCCTGAAAATCTTCGTCAGTGTGACGGACTATGACTCCCAATCAGTGAACGAGAAAGAAGATATAATGGGAGCGCTGGTTGGGTCAACCAATGTTGCCAATCAATGCCGAGGGGGAAACCGTATATTAAGATCCGCCGCAGATTCATTTTTGCCTAATATGTTGTAAGGTGAGCAACAGATGTAAATAATAAGGTATAACCTGGCTATCTACAGATTAAAAGACGGCTCATTTGACAATTTTCCCGCTGGAATTCGGTTTTCTTCGCTTACTTCTGAGTGGATACCTGAATGTAAACATTCCTGACCTTCTCCGAATTTAAAACGCCGAGGAAGTGGTCATTTTGTCGGTAGAAACTTGCTACCTAAATGTAAGTAGCAGAACACTTTGAGAGAACTAGATGCCGTCTATAATAAAATTTAATGAGCTCCAATTACCTACGCGTAAGTGCATGCTAACTAACAGACTTTCACAAATGCCGCCTACCTTTTCGACAAGGTAATGTACCAACTGTTCGTGATTGTATACAGCAGCCAAATGAAGCGGAGTGTATCCATTTTTGTTTGGCATCCTCAGAGCAGCTTCCTTTTCTTCTGGCCTGGCATTTAACATCAGATCCACACATTCCAGATCGTCTTTGATGCAAGCGTAGTGTACCGGCGTCGACTCATCGTTCTGTGTTGCCAAAATCCATGCTTGTTTTTTAAGGCATATCTGTGGAGATCAAAAGCAACCCGTGTGACACCGTAGGATTTAGTAGGTACAAAATGCCTTACTACGTACTGCAGGCAAATAAAGAAGATTTGGCTGTGGCATGAAAGTTAACGTTGTCCTGCAGACATCCAGTTTTAATGATTTTTATTCACCGACACAGAGCAAAACTCCAGACATTTGTGGAGCTTTTTGTTGCATGCATACTCATTACTTTAAATAGATCTCAGTAATTCGGATGATATTGGTGGATGTATTGTTGCACTAAACCTTTGGATGTTACTGAGGGGCTTTGTGGATAAGAAGTTTTTGCGCTGTAGCCGCCCAATTACTTTTGAGGATAGAAAATAGTTCACCGGTATCCAAAACATCCCTAAAAAACGTCTCGAAACAACAACGGGTTTTTCTTCTTATTTGTTGAATTACAGTGGCTAAACTAAGGAGCTTAACAGTATTAGTGAGCACAACGTGCAGCATTTCACGCATTTCCAGTCCGCCAATGGTCCTGACACGTATTCACTAGTTAACAGAACTGGTTCTCCTTTTCACTCTGCTGGGTGGCAGTCTGTTGCCCAAATGAAATGTTTAGTGATTTGCTATAAAGCACAAATAGACTGGCGCACTTCATAAGTAGTAAATTGTTGTAAATTGCTATCGACAGCCTAGACATCCCTAAACAGGACCAGATGGTTTGGCACAGATTTAGTCCTAATTTACCGTGCTGGCAATAAGGTGGGTAGGCACCAATAGAAAGGCGTAATTGACCTATCTGACGAAGTCACGCGATCAATCACACTATGAAATGACACTCAAAAAGTGCCTTTATGGGATGTCTTTAACTAAAGTTTTAGGGTGGGCGAACAGTAAAGTACTCACTTTCAAAGTCTTATCAGAGATACGTTAACAGTAGAGTGTGGATAAGAAATTTCCATTCACAAATATGTAATGTCAAGTTATTGGTTATTTTTGGGTTGAATGGGGAACAACTATACGTTAGACACATTTACAGCTACTAATCTGATTCATAACGCCATGAAGTCAACGATTTAGTGTTATCCTTAAATTTGTTGATTGGTATGTTTGTTAGCTCACCGTCACTTCTTTTCCTGACCTTCAGGTTTTTCAAGCCGAATCTTCCTGTGTGTTTTCTAGGTCTTATTCTATATATATAT